TATTGACAAGAGATTCCTACCTTTTTGTATATACATTTTGGGTTTAGTAGAAGTATCAAAAGAAAAGCAATCAAATGAAAAACACCTGATTAGTGCATGGCTAGAAAGCACATTGTAAATTTATTTATTCACTTCGTATTTCTGAGTGCCTTCTAAGTGACAGGCATGTGCATGGTGAGTAATATATAATTAATACATATACCAAAATCGTTTGGCTGAATTTTAATCTTTCGAATCTATTTCAACTAAAGTATCTTTTCTCACCATGCCCTCAACCCTCAAATTTTTTGTGGAATTAATATGAATATGCAAAATAAATAAAATATCTTTACGTTTCATTTTAACCCAGATTGCGTTTCAAACATGTAAATAGACCTTGTGGGCAAGAACGAGGAAGAGAAGGCGGTTTGGGAAATCGCAAGGAGATTTTCACTGGGAAATTCTACCTCCTCTTTCATGAGGGCATCCCACGTGGAGGCTTTCCTCCCAGGATCTGGTCTTGAGCTGCCTTGTGACTGTAAAAGTGCATTTGTCTTTCGTTGGCACCATTTAGGATGCAGTGGTACCTTCCACCTTGTGCACTGTTTTACACCTCCTCTTCTTACCCGCCTCATAACAGCAACACCCCAGGAGGTGTACCAGGAACTTCACGACCTGGTTCAAGTCCAGGCTTTCCATCGATGAGACCCGGCATATTTGGCACCTGGAAATATCACTAGTGTTTTCTGTATTCTTCCACACACTCTTTGCACATCCTCACTTAAGAAGAAATGTATGGACTGTGGACTCCACCAGGCTCGACACTCTAATGCACAGCTTTCTTTTTGGCCTCGAGAGTATGCATTTCCCCAATGTTTATGATTATTATTTTTAAAGATATTTTCATTGATTTCAAAGAGAAAGGGAGAGAGAGAGAGAGTGATAGGAACATCAGTGAGAGAGAAACATCATCGATTGGCTGCCTCCTGCATGCTGCATGCTCCATGCTGGGGATGGAGTCCACAGCCCCAGGCATGTGCCCTGACCGGGAATCCAACCGTGACCTCCTGGTTCATAGGTTGAAACTCAACCACTGACCTACACCAGCCAGGCAGTTTATGAAATTTTTAATAGGCAAAAAGAAGGAAAGAGAATACTTCCTTTTAGTTTCCTTTTTAAAAAGGCAGTCTCTATGTTTAGCAAAGGCAGGCCAAGCATGCTCTCTCTCGTTCTTTCTGACATCACACAAAGTAAGAAATAGTGCCCTTCGAATGGGAGATTTCCTTTAATTACATCGGGAAGCGATAGTGGTCGGTATTGCATGTTTAATGTAATGTTCTGCGTGCCCTTTTTTCTTTCTTTCTCCCCGCCACCCACCACCCCTTCACAGCTACCTCATCTTGAGCAGAAATAAAAGGCTCAGGGCTTGTCAGCATCAGTTTATAGATAGCTGTTTAAAAATAATGAGATATTGGCTATTGTAAGGCTCAGGGCCGTCTTGCCAGACTCATTTATTTCCATTCACCTTTTGTCAGAATCACAGACAGAAGACATTCAATTAAAACATGTCACCTGTTGCAATGACCTAATTTGTACTCCTATGTGTCATAGATTAGGGCTCTGCGCTTCTGAGGAAGTGCTTTTACCCCCCATGCAGCAGTGTGCCCCCTGCAAAACACTTTGTCTGTGGTTATTTCAAGTTTCTTTTTTTAAAAAAAATATTTTTATTGATATCAAAGAGGAAGGGAGAGAGATAGAAACATTAATGATGAGAGAGAATCATTGATCGGCTGCCTACTGCACACCCCTACTGAGGATCGAGCCTGCAACCTGGACATGTGCCCTAACTGGGAATCGAACCATGACCTCCTGGTTCATAGGTCCACGCTCAACCACTGAGCCATACCGGCTGACCTGATTACTTTTATTTAATAAAACTCTTGATTTAGTAGTCATTCACTTCATTATCTTTTTTTTAAAAGTATTTTTACTTTAATGTGACTCTCTGCATCTTAAGTATTCAGGGGGAGGGAGTTGTCTTTGCAATTCATGTGTACAGCAAACCTTTGTTTGGGAACATTATCTAAGGCATGTTTTTAATTTGGGAAAGTAGGCTAGGATATCCTGGGTAATTCTCTGCAGGGAAGGTCTTTTGCTGTTCTCTGAAATGCCTCAGACTTTGCACTGTTAAAAATGCGAACAATACTTTTGACTTTGGACTATATCATATAAAAATTTGCATTTGGGCATAAAATGCAGACTTAAAATTAGCTGACTTAGAAGCCCTGGTGCTGAACTGCTTTACGTCTCTTGGAGTTTATTTGCCTCCCAGCATATTTTTTCCCCTCCTTGCCCTAGTCTTGCGTTCCCAATTTTGTAAATTCTGACAGTGTGTGAGATTTGCAATTCCCTTGTGGCCACGCGGGCTCACGCAGTATTTGAGAGAGGCAGCAATGTGGGAGGAAATGCTCTACTTGTAGGCAATGCCAACTATTAAAATCTTTTAGAAAAAACAAAATAGATAAGGGCAGTCTCCACCTGAATGGAAAATCCAGATGCTTTAATTAATTTCAAATCCTGTCAAATATTGGATACAGTGGGTATCTTATTTCCTCAGAGAAAACTTATTTTTAAACTTTTTCCAAACTGGCTTACCAGTGACATCGAAACAGAAGCTGTTTGTGTTTAAGATTGTAAAGATGTGAAAAGACGTGAAATTGCCCTTTCATGGAAATATTTGGATTAGACTGGTGTTTGTTTAGAGCAAATCTGGATTTCTCAGGTCCTGATTGCAAATATTGTTATTTTGTTTGTTTATTTGTTTCTGCTAAAATAGTTTGAGGCTTTTACGTGTACCAGGTTAATTGGATAATTATCAGTTCTCTTCTCAAATTTGTATTGTGTGCCTTAAAGCAAACTCGGGGAAAACATTCTTCTTTTTGATGGAATTTGGGTTCATTTCTCTGTCTATTCTAAAGTAATCACTTACATAAATGATATTATTAGTGACAGGAGAGAATAGTAAATAGAATGGGATACCAAATAATTCTATAAATCACTTAGGCATCATAGAGTATCATTATTTGGCTTGTGTTTTTTGAATTATCTTACCACTCCATCATACCCCAAATCTGTTTACGTACAGAACTGAGGCAGGGTAGACTGTCAAACTCCATGGGGATGGATTTTCAATAAATAAGCATGATGTAAAATATCTTTAAATAAGATAATATAGCAATATTTCAACAAAATCACGAGATAGTGACAACTTTATTTTCCTTGGCATTTTAAGGTTTATAAAATATTTTAGTATTACATTAGTATAATATCCAATTGCATTAATATATTAATATAACATTGGATCATCACAGCAAAACTTTGGAGAGGATATTGTCTTTCCATCCATTCTATATGTGGAAAAGGAAATAAGTTAAGGAACTCATTGAAGTTTTTTAAAATATTTATTTGTCTAAACCTGCTTCACTGCTTTTGAAGTTGTCTACTGATTTGAGTTAAATTCTGCTTTGATGTTTCAATATGGCATTTCAGGTTTTGTTGAGAAACCAGGGTATGTTTGTGTGTTTCACTAAAAGATCATCAACTCTTAAAGTATTATTTATTATTAAGGCAATATAAAAAATATTTTTCTTTATTGTATGGATCACTAATAATCCTTACCTTTTGTGTATATATATATTGACCTTGGGGATTCACCTAGAGATATATCAGCCTTTCCCAAACTGTTTCCTGTACCTCAGGTAACCCACAACTCACATGTCACATGGTATTAATAATATTCCCCAAACTGGATCCTTAGTTAGATTGGTTTGCAAAAGCACTGCCTGGGTCGTATCTCCCTCTGAGAGTTCTGCAGAGGCTATTTGCTTATTAAAGGCTCTGAGATGCCCTTCAGTAAAATAATAAAACTGATGATGCTATTAAACCAAATCTATTTTGTACACAGTTTGAAAAATGCCAAAATATGGGTTATGCATTGCTTGGTTGAATTTATTAATGGAGAATGTTACACGGTTTCATCAATTAAGATACAATCTACTACCAAAAAAAAGAGGCTCTCTCCTCATTCTTACTCCCAAGTAACCTTGTTTTGACAATGGTTTTATAAGGTCCTGTTCTAAACTTTACAGTCCCACTGGAAACCAGGTTGTTAATGACAAGCTCTTCCCCACCATTCCCTCATATAAACAAAACATTATTTTTCATCCCTTTCCTTTCGTTTTTGCTATTGATCTCTTAACTCACAGCCAGCAAAACTCCCTGCATCTTGACCCCACCCATCACTCTTTGGGAAAAGGTTTTACAAAAGCCCATCTACTTTTGCCTGCTTCCTAACTTTCCCTCCAGCTCTGCCCTGCGAACTTACCCCTTCTTTGACACCCTAGTCTGGATCCTTTCAGAAAGCTCCTCTTTCCATCCTGTTGGGTTCAGTCAAAAACAACTCCCAGCTTTCTCACATTTGAAGGAAAATACAGATGTGTCCCAAAATGTAGCTAACATTCTCCTTCTGAGACATGTTAATATGGGACAATCCCTGGATCTCATCTGCACGGCATGTAGGTACTTGCAGTGCAATTCAACTCTACAGTGTTTTCTGGTAACCCCAGGGTTGGGTAGCTGGCCGACTGGTCTACCTAATCCTACATATAGAGCTTTCAGGGGTAACTGATATAGAGGTTACAGATGGCCATTGTCTTTAATTTGAGAAACAGTTTCTTTATATTAATTCACATGAAACGTGCCTTTTCTTTGATGTGTACATGTCACTTTGATGGCCTTGCATAAAATGTCTGTGTGGTTTATTATCCTCTCCTAGATTTGGTTTCCAATCCCTAGCAATCTTGATGTAGCCACCAATTTTTTTACATCCCTCTCATACCCCTTGACCATTGTGCATTTTCTGTCCATTTCCCTAGCACCCATGGGTGATGCTGTCTATGCATTGAATTGGTTTTTGAAGAGATCTACCTCCATGCTAAACATGTGACTGTCTTTGCCCACAGGAGTGCGTCTTGACAGAGTACGTGGAGGCCGGCAGAAGTACAAGCGCAGAATAGATGCGGAGAACAGCCCCTACCTGAACCCCCAGCTGGTTCAGCCAGCCAAAAAGCCATGTAAGTACAGCAGACATGTCTGGCTGCCCAGCACTCAGAATCTCCCCCTCCCCTCCCCTCCCTCCTGTTGGCTCCCTGTATCACTTTGGCATGCCCATCCCTACCAACTCCAAGGAGGTTTGTCATTGTTGGGGGGCCATGGCTCCAATCCCAAGGATTGCCTGTGAGAGGCAACAGCCACTCACCTAATGATCTTTTTCTTTCCTATGGTTTTTCCTCCCTCTGCCCTGTATTTGCCTAGTCATTTTGTGGAAGCAGAAGCACATTAAGGCATTGCTTATATAGTGCGGATTTTACATTTACTGGTTCCTTTTATTTTCAGAGGTACATCAAATGGATCATACTGTGATCATTAGTTCATTGGAGCTGTTAGTTTCAGATTTCACAAGAAAGTGATTTTTGTAGTTGTCACTAACTAAATGAGTTTGACTGCTCAACCTCCCCATGAAAATACATTAGGAGCCTCATTAATTTGGAGCTAGAGAAGGTTAACACACTAGCTAGCAATAGATTAAAACAAGAATGGGCCCTGCTAATAACAAGCATAGGTTGATGGTTCCGTCTCAGGTGTCCTTATGGGCATCATGAATTGTTTTTTAAGAGCCCGTGGCTTCCTAATGCCAGGTTGCCTTTGGAAGGGGCGATGGTACGGTGCTAAAATGCAAGCCCCATTCTCTTTGCCATTAAGTAAAAGAGCTAGAATATAGATCGAGGCAATAACTGTATCCCATTTTCTGAAAAATCAGTTCACAGCTGCTCTGCAACAGCCCTAGCATTTTAGGGGGTTTATGCAAAGAGTTCATATCAGGCACTGAGAAGACTCTTGGTGGAGACGGTGCTGGCATTCAGCTGTCTTTGTCTCAGGAGACACGCCCAGCACGCACTCACATTGATAGCAGTTCCAGAAAAGACAGGGGTATTTTGTTACCTGCTTTCAAGGGAAGAGAAAGAAGCTTCTGCTTCTAATTCAGACTCTCCAGGAGGGGTCGCTGCTGCGCACCGTACAGTGAGCATATGGGGATGGGTTAAATAAATAAAACAGACCCTGAACTGTAAACGAAAGGACATTTCAACGATGTCAAAGGGAAAACAACCAGTTTTACATAAAATTAAAGCTTAAGTGAACATATGGCATAGTTTCCTTTTGCCTTTCCAAAAAACATTATGTTGATTATACCTTCAATTGTCCAATCTGGCATCTTCTCCGCAGCCTGCATAAGCTCCTTGGCATTCTGCAAATACAATCCCGGACTGCATTAAGCAGATTTTGCACATTATAATAAAAAAAAAACTTTCTGATAATACAATAAAGTGCAATAAACACTAATGCTTAATTTCATTAGAGGTTTAGTTTGCCTGGATTCGGTAATACACAGAGTGCCCATTTCTCATTCATTTTATGCAAACATTGACCAAAACCATTGATAAGTTCCTCTCCGGAGAGAAAAATGCACACCAGCCCACGATAAAGGAACGTCTATGGTTTGGGGCGTAAACCTGAGGAACTGGGAAGTGGCATGTCAAGTACCTTTAAGGAGATTACAGCAATTTCACTGAGCTGCATTTGTCTGAGATAAAGAGGGTTCCTAATAAATCATTACTCATTATCTCAAGGCCTCTGTGTTAATTTTCCTGAGTCCATCCAATTAGTGTGTTTTGGTAACAAACATTTATAAAACTTAATTTTCAGATCCTGTCGGATAAGTGTCAGGAGAGGGTGCATGGGCCGTCGGCCGAGAGTGGCTGGGGAGATTTCTGGAACCTGACTGATTGGGGAGCGCAAAAACCCCAGAGTGGAAATTGGGTTCTATTGATTCTAATTAGGGAAACATTAAATAAGATTTACCTAGAAGCAGTGCTGCGGGCTATTCCGTCTTTGGAATGATGGGCGTTTCCAAGCTTCCACCCTATTTCTCTGACCCAGAGTCCAGTGCCCCTTGGCTTGGCAGAAACAGGCAGCATGTTTCCTGTAATAAGTAAGAACTGGAGTTCCAGGATTTCCTTCGGGTCCGTGTCTGTGCCTTTTATCACTGCATTTTTCTCTAGTCTGGGAACCCAGTGGTTGCTGAAGGTTTTGTTGATTGTCAGAGCGAGGGAAGTGAGACTTTTCTAAGTGAGACTAAAACTACAGGGTGTTGTTTCTTAAGCACACACGGGAAGCCAGTGCCATTCTCTGTGGATCCTACAAAGTAAAAAAAAAAAAAAAAAAAGAATATTTAACTTTAATGTTTACCAGAAACCATGGCATTTTGGGATATTTTCTCCTAAATCTGCAGTTTCATGATAATTGAATATTACTGCCAATGAATGGTTTTCTGTTGATGATTGGCAATATATGTAATTCCTATGGGAGCTGTAATAACATTTTAAGATATGTCAGGAAAAATGCTTTATAGTTTGGATGCATCTTCTTGTTATCATGTTAAAGGCGATTCAAAGAATGTTATGTTTTCAATTCAAATGTATAGGAAGTCTTTCAATTTGGGTTAAAAAGTTATAGTGAAAGGAAAATGACATAATAAACAGAGAGGAAACTTTAGCTTTGCTTACAAAAAAACCATTTAATGCTCCATTTTTTCCAGAGTCATATAGTACATAGAACATGGACACATTTATTCTTACCCATTTCCATCTCCCCACTTAGCAGAAAGTACAAAAATCTAAAGCTACACACAGACATGGAAAATGGGGCCACGCAGAAAAACCATTCCGTCCGGGAGCCTTTACAGCCCCCTCCATAAACCCGCACATGCCCCCGGGCAGTAAAACACATTTGATGTGATGCTTTTCATTTGTCTCCAGTGTTTATTTTATGAAGGTTTTTAAAAACATAAATCATAACTTTCAGACAGATAAATCTGAACCAGAAAATGAACTACAGACAACAGATGAAAATAGAGGATTGAAGAATTAGACACTCCATGGAGAACACATTGTACCATTTAAATAGAACTATTTTTCTGGAAACTGATATTGTCTGTATTGAGGAGATTGACTAGTATGCAGGGATATGGGGAAGGAAAAAAAGTTCCTATTTAGTGCATCCCACAAAGATAGAGTTATTGAGTCCCTAATTCACCCAACCAGGAGGGCTCTGACCATTGCTCTACTTTAAAGAAATTAAGACAATTAAGGACTTTCATGCCCATGATGACTATGGGCATTGGTAGTTCTTTGCCTTCCACATTATATTCCAGATTTCAGTGCTTGACTGTGCATTTTTTTTTTGTTTGTTTTTTAAATATATTTTACTGATTTTTTACAGAGAGGAAGGGAGAGGGATAGAGAGTTAGAAACATCGATGAGAGATAAACATCGATCAGCTGCCTCCTGCACACTCCCTACCGGGGATGTGCCCGCAACCAAGGTACATGCCCTTGACCAGAATCGAACCCAGGACCCTTAAGTCCACAGGCTGACACTATATCCACTGAGCCAAACCAGTTAGGGCTGACTGTGCGTTTTTTATCTTAAAGTTGTTGTCTATGACTTAATCTGCTCCCCCAAACCCCACTTAAGACTCAATGCGTGAACCCAAAGGGCATCTAACTTCTCTTATCAGTTTGCTACAAATGTTTTCATTCCAGGAGAGAGGCTGCAGTCCCACCAAGGCAGGTAGAGCAAAGGAGAAGACGAAGACAGGAGCGCACCTGTTGGGACTGCAGCTGCTCTGTCTTGCTCTGTGTGTTCCCGGAAGCTGGTTAATGTGCCTATAGGGAACCCTAAGCAGAATACGCTGGGTTTCTTGTAGGCGATTTGATTTCCTGTTCAAAACCCAACGTGCTCTGAGGTTTGTAAAAGAAGGATGATGCTACTAGTGATCTCGCAGTGCTCTGGTCTGATCCTGCAGATAACAAGATTGTGTCCCATTTGTTGGTGGCCGAACCGGAGAAGATCTATGCCATGCCTGACCCCACCGTCCCCGACAGCGACATCAAAGCCCTCACCACGCTGTGCGACTTGGCCGACCGAGAGCTGGTGGTGATCATTGGATGGGCCAAGCATATTCCAGGTACCTTCTCTGAAAACAAATTTTTTTAGAAAAGAAAAACATTGTAGTTCATTCTCTAGGTCAGTGGTTCTCAACCTTCCTAATGCCGTGACCCTTTAATATAGTTTCTCATGTTGTGGTGACCCCCAACCATAAAATTATTTTCGTTGCTACTTCATAACTGTAATTTTGCTACTGTTATGAATCGTAATGTAAATATCTGATATGCAGGATGTATTTTCATTGTTACAAGTTGAACATAATTAAAGCATAGTGATGAATCACAAAAACAATATGTAATTATATATGTGTTTTCCGATGGTCTTAGGCGACCCCTGTGAAAAGGTCGTTCGACCCCCAAAGGGGTCGCGACCAACAGGTTGAGAACCGCTGCTCTAGGTGGTATATGTACATTTGGGCAAATTCTAAATTTTCTCTTTGGGATTGTTTTTTAACATTTACCTTTGTGTGTTTTTTTTGTTTTTTATTATACTTAATTTAAAGCTTTGCTGATCTTCATAGAACCCTAAACCTTTTTCTATCTGTACTAACTTGAACTCTTGTTAATTATGTTTTCCTATATGGAGGTACTATTGCCAATGTAAGATAAAGACAATATAATTTAAAAAACAACAATACAGTTCTTTATTCCTTTTAAAGTTCTGAGCTTTCTCCTAAAGAAATGCTTCTGCTTTTATTTTCATGGTAAAAGGTGTTTTTGTCACCCACAGTCTAATGTAAATTTGTTTCCTTCTTTTTAAGAATAACTCATTTTGTTGTTCATGGTGGCTATTTATACTGTTTATTCACATACTATTCATATTCACAAGCTTTGCTTTGGTTTACAATGAGATGTCCACCTTGAATTTATACAGAAATTAATGAAAAGAAATGTTACATTGACATCGGGAATTTCTCCTATGGTAACTTCAAAGCAGTCTTTTAAAATAGCCTTTTCCTTTTCTTTCTTGACCCATCCTGTCATATCAAACGTATGCCTAACCACAGATTCTGAGAAGTCTAGTCATCTAGAATTACTATTTTTTGTTTGCTTGAGTGTTGATCTTCAAATTGCTTATAAGGAAGTTTTTGAATGGTGAGCCGGGCTTTTCTGGTTACAGTTAACTTATTTCTGTCTCCTTAAACTAGTTTGTCTTTATGCTTTGAATGCTACAGTAATTTCTTTAATCAAATTGATGGAAGTCCCTTTCCCAGCCCACACTGAAACCAATTTATTGGTCATGATACGCCAGCTATGTTGCTAACAGTCGTAACGAACTGTCAGGCAGTATCGCAGGGAAGCTAATTTGAAGTCATTAGGTGTGCAGCGCTCAGGCGACAATTTGTTACAGTGGTTAGCGACACAGCTGACGTTTCTGAATGGCTTTGTTCGGGGCTGTTCTCGATGAGGCCAAGCAAATTGTAAACTAATTTAAACATCACTCTGTATTATACCGGCTACTCTGTCTTACACTGTTTGCTAATAAAGCACCCCAAATTAAGTCAAAACTAGTTAAATAGGTGAGCCGGATTGTGTTCTTCAGACGATACCTACACAGGGGTCGCTGCGCATACAAAAAGCATGAGAATTGGATCATATGGATAGGTGGCATTGCATTGGGGTTGTCATCACATCTATATGACTTTTAGGAAAAGCAAAAAATATTATACACACACACACACACACGCACATATTGTGTTAAGACATTTGGGAATAGTGGCAGTGGCCAGTCAAGTCTGTGGGGCCAGTCAAGTCAGAATATGCTTGAATGATAAATATAAACTTACCCGGAAGGAAAGTGTTAGGAAGGGTTTTAGAGCCAAAAGATATAAGTCTCACATTTGGCCCTAACTGGTTTGGCTCAGTGGATAGAGCATCAGCCTGCGGACTCAGGGGTCCCAGGTTCGATTCTAGTCAAGGGCATATACCTTGGTTATGGGCACATCCCCAGTAGGGAGTGTGCAGGAGGCAGCTGATCAATGTTTATCTCTCATCGATGTTTCTAACTCTCTATCCCTCTCCCTTCCTCTCTGTAAAAAATATCAATAAAATATATTTTTAACAAAACAAAACAAAACAAAAAAAGACATTTGTTGAAGTTTCCATAGATACTTTTTTAGATTATCTATCTATCTAGCCATTTATATTTATATATTCTATCATTTTCTACATACACATATATACTCGCATGTTGAAACTGTCATTGCCGCATGTCCTCTGGGGAGCAAAGTTGAGCTGTCTCCAACTGAGAACCATTGTTCCATCCCAGGAATTGGTTATTATCACCCTAAATTCACAGATAGAGAGATCTGGGGCAGACAGAGGGGAAAACACGTACGCAATCCACAAATGTACCCTGTGCCTTCAAAGCATACATTTAACATTGCTTCCTGGAGTTGAATTGGGATATTTTGGTGTCCTGGTTGAAAGAACTATCCAATATAATAAAACCCTAATATGCAAATTGATTGAACAGCAGAATGGCCAGTTACTATGATGCACATTGACCACTAAGAGACAGGTGCTCAATGCAGATGCTGCCCCCTGGTGTGCTCCCATAGGGGAAGTGCCGCTCAGCCAGAAGCCAGGCCCATGGCTGGCGAGTGCATCAGTGGTGGCGGCAGCCTCTCCTGCCTCCACTGCAAGTAGGTGGTAAGGAGCAAAGGATCCCGGGCTGCAAGAGCCCCAGACTGCAAGAAGGATGTCTGACTGCTGGTGTAGGCCCAATCCCTAGTAGGCGGACATCCCTCAAGGGGTCCCAGACAGTGAGAGGAAGCAGGCTGGGCTAAGGGACCCCCCCTCCCCCGTCAAAGTGCATGAATTTCGTGCACCAGGCCTCTAGTTTCAAAATAATAATGATGATACTGTTATTCTCACGAAAGGCTATGTCACCATGATTCCAAACCACTGTGTTTCAGAGAACTCTCCCCAATTCTCCCTGGTGTCAGGGAGGTGTTAAACCAGTATTTGGGTGTGGTACAGACATTCCATGATAGGGCCCCATAAAACTCAACATCTCCTTCTGAAGTTCCCTGGTAAGAAAAAGTCAGCGATGAATTGTGGGACCAGTCATGCATCGAAGTAGAAATGTCAGCTTACACAGGAACTTGTCCCCATAGAGGGGCTCTGGTGACTTTTGGGAAGACAGTCACTTTAAATAACTATGAGTAACAGCAATTGCAGTGGTGGAAGCAATTACTATACGATGATGTGTTCAGTTGTAAATGGGGGCTTAGCATTAGTGAGCACTGACGTTATTGTCTCTCTGTAGTAAACGCCAGAGCCAGTCACTGTGGAGTGGTGACTCACAGCTCGGGTTTTTGTGACACTCTGAGGGTGCCTTAAATGATTGCAAGGAGCCCAGCATGTGTGGCTCAGTGGTTGAACATCAGCCTATGAACCAGGAGGTCACAGTTTGATTCCGGATCAGGGCACATGCCTGGGTTGTGGGCTGGATCCCTCATAGAGGGTAGGGTGTGCAGGAGGCAGCCCATCAATGATTCTCTCTCATCATTGATGTTTCTATCTCTCCCTCTCCCTTCCTCTCTGAAATTAATAAAAATATATTAAAAAATAAATGATTTCAAGGAGTATCTTGGTTTTTCAGAAAGGATTAGCAAAATAAGAATCAACTGAAACTCTCTTTTTAAAATATATACCTGGTATATATTTTTAGATATATTTTATTGTTGAAAGTATTACAGATGTCCCTTTTTCCCGTTGACACCCTCTACCCTGCACCCTTTCCCCCAGGCCTTCACCACACTATTGCCTTTGTCCATAAGTTATGCGTATATGCATATAAATTCCCTGGTTAATCTCTCCCCACCCACCCACATCTCCGCCTTCCCTCTGAGATTCCTCAGTCTGTTCCATGGTTTTATGCAGGGGTCCTCAAACTACGGCCCGCGGGCCACATGTAAATACAAATATTGTATTTGTTCCCGTTTTGGTTTTTTACTTCAAAATAAGATATGTGCAGTGTGCATAAGAATTTGTTCATAGTTTTTTTTTAAACTATAGTCCGGCCCTCTAACGGTCTGAGGGACAGTGAACTGGCCCCCTGTTTAAAAATTTTGAGGACCCCTGGTTTTATGTGTCTGGATCAGTTTTGTTCATCAATTTATTTTGTTCATTAGATACCACGTGAGAATGAGATCATGTGATACTTGTCTTTCTTTGGCTGGCTTTGTGCCATGCAGGGTTGGGGCAGAAGGATGCTCTGCTCTTGGAGTGCTGGTATACCTTGGGTTCAGGGATGCTGGGCACAGCAGCCATGGCAATGTGGGCTAGGGGTGCAAAGACAAAGAGATTATGAAGATTAAAGTGGCATTTCTGCCTTGGTGAAAGTAAAATGGAGTTCTCGATAACATGACTCAGACCTGATAACTGGGTCAGAGCCAGAATTTAAGCCAAATCAGAACTGAGATCTCACTAGTCTTGGTCTTAAATTAAGAACTCTTAGCCCTCGCTGGTTTGGCTCAGGGCATAGAGCATCACCCTGCGGACTGAAGGGTCCCGGGTTCAGTTCCAATGCAGCCTCTGCCAGTCCGTGATTCTCTCTCCTCATTGATGTTTCTCTCTCTCTTGCTCCCTCTTCCTTTCTGAAATCAATAAAAATATAATTTAAAAAGAAAAGAAAGGACTCTTTTTTATAACACTAGAGAACCCCTCTTTTCTAATATAATAAAATTTAAGCCTTTTCTCTCTATATCCTATCCTATTCTTAGTTTGTGCAATATGGCACACAGAGAAACACACATACTTTAAAATGTATTTTTATTGATTTGAGAGAGAGAGAGAGCAAGGGAAGGGAGAGAGAGAGAGAGAGAGAGAGAGAGAGAGAGAGAGAGAGAGGAGAGAGAGAGAGAGAGAAAGAAACATGGATGTGAGAGAGAAAAACTGATTAGTTGCCTCCCATATATACCCCAACCAGGGATCAAACCAGTAACCTGGGCATGTGCTAGTGGGAATTGAACTGGAGACCTCTGGGTGCACGGGGCGATGTTCAACCAACTGA